AACATTTCGAGAATAAAGTCGAAACATTACGACAATACAGTCTTCCATAGAAGTGTGTGCATTCATAACAGTGCGCGTCCACTGGTTCGAGCGCGTGTGTGTGTGTGTGTGTGTAAAGAAATGCACTTGTGAAGTCTAACTGCCATGGATCAACACAAAATAGTAGCTTTTTACTTTTATCTGGGCTTTCAACAAAATTCTACACAGGTGCTAATCTACCAACAATAATTGCCATGGCGTTGCCTATAGACGAGCGCACAGACTCCGCCGGAGTAGGTATCACAATGGTCCAAACTTTATGTGGCAGTGTTTTTGAAGTGTTTTCGTGCTCGTCTAGGCAACACTATCTGGGTCGAGAACACAACAGTAACCGTTCTGTCTCCCTCTTCACCGTAAATACGTTCTGGATACATTTTAAGTGCATCATTCTGTATCCAATCATTTGGCCGGATCCCGTGATTTCCTCAGATTTAATAACCACTGGGGGTTGAGGAGAGTTTCTCTGATATGATTGTAAAGCGCTTTGAGTGTAGGCCTAGTAGACATATGAAAGCGCTATATAAATGCCTCATTCATTCATTCATTCATTCATTCATTCATTCATTCATTCATTCATTCATTCATTCATTCATTCATTCATTCATTCATCCATCCATCCATCCATCCATCCATCCATCCATCCATCCATCCATCCATCCATCCATCCATCCATCCATCCATCCATCCATCCATCCATCCATCCATCCATCCATCCATCCATCCATCCATCCATCCATCCATCCATCCATCCATCCATCCATCCATCCATCCATCCATCCATCCATCCATCCATCCATCCATCCATCCATACATACATACATACATACATACATACATACATACATACATACATACATACATACATACATACATACATACATACATACATAAAGCTGGATATCTCCATCCAGTCTGAAAAGTGTTTTCCGGGTTGGTTTTCCTATGGGCTAAAGTCTATTCCGGCGCAGTATATTTTATAACGTCCTATAATGGTAGCCTAATGCTGGTAGATTGGCACCTGTTGAATTTCCTTTTGTTGAAACAAAACACACACACAAACACACACACACACACACACACACACACACATAGTGTGAAACACTCGCTATGCAGCATTATGAATGCCTGTGTGTGCGGCAATGTGAAACAATGGCAAGCACACACGCAACTTCTACGGAAGACTGTATTCTCGTACTCTCGAAATATTTCGACTTTAATCTCGAAATGTTTCGACTTTAATCTCGAAATGTTTCGACTTTAATCTCGAAATGTTTCGACTTTAATCTCGAAATGCTAGGTTTATTTATTTATTTTTTTACAGATTTTTTTTTTTGTACAGATTTGTTATTTATTTTTTACGTTGCGGTTCAGGGCTTCCGTACAAAACAGTAGGAAAAACAAAAAACAACAATTCAAACACCAAAGGAGAAAGGGCTCGCATGAAGCCACCACATAGTTTGTGCTCCAGCACCAGTTATCACGAGCGAGCCTCGAAATGATAATAGAAAATAAACAAATGAAACCAGCCACCAGAAACGTCTAGGTCAGCGATTTTCAATAGGCGCGACACGCGAACAAAAAATAACTCTGTATCAGAGAATGTCTGTATGCAGCTCTATTAACATCACAGGACTTAAATTATTCCGGCAACGCATGCGATACATTTTTGTATATGATCACGCTCTTATTCACGCAAATACTTTTAAACCATCCATTCGCGACAAGACAAAAGAGAACGCGCTGTCAGTGAATGTCCTCCTGCTCCTGACACACACACACGCACGCATGACGCACAGAAAGACGCGCTCCCGTATCGAGTTCTCTTTCGCGCTTGAACGAACAATAACCCACACCACGCATGTATGCCAAAATGTCCGTTTTGTCGAGTAGCCTATCCTCACAAGAATAGTCTTAAATGAGTTAAATAAAATCTTAAATAGAAGTAAAGAGTAGTGAGAGAATGAGATGCGGCAGATCTTAAAGTGACAGAAGCCACTCATTCTCTCTGTCCGTAAAGTTAACCAAAGAACAAAGAGAACAGAGAAAAGTAGCCTACTCACAGCTAAAGAACGCTTGTAGCTTTTATAAGGTTTAATCTATATTTCATTTATAATTTATGCAGAGCGGACTGTTTTATAACCTTTCAATTTCTGTATATTTCATACCTGTTAGACAGGAAAGGTACAGGTAAATATTACATTTATTATGGGTTTAAGTGAGGATTGTTTTAAGGTAACTTAAATTAAAAGTTGTTATATGTTTTGAAGCCTAATAAATGTTTAAAATTTTGGGGAAAATCATTTTCATGGAGACATCAGTGGCTATATTAATATCAGTGATACTGGCCTTCATTCATAAAAAGATGCCATAAAAAAAATTCAGACTCAGGACTTTAGCCCCTGATATCGGTAATTGTGCGTGCGTGTATTAGCTTTAAAATGCATTGTTTCCTTGTCCCAAGTCAACAAAAGTCAGCATTAAGGGAGGATGACCCATCAAAAAACTTAGGAAATATGATCCTGAGTACTGGTCGGGGTCCGAGGCTGCACCTCTGCCGCAGTGTGTGGTCTGCAAGGAGGTGCTAGCAAATGATGAGACAATGCAAACTTCAGCGTCACATTGAAACTAAGCTCACAAATTTAGTGAACAAGCCAGTTGAGATTTTTTGAGAGGAAGCGTGATGATTTGCAGTCACAAAAAAAGCATAATACAGTTGTTTGGCACTATTAACATGAAGGCGACAGAAACATCTTATTGTGTCGCAAAGGCAGGCAAACTCCATGCATCGGCAAAACATTACTCATTGCATTACACATGTTAAGCATGTTTTGTTGACTTGTGGTTAGGCCTACTGATGTTCAGTGATTTTAAAAGTATAGCCTCAATTAGGCCTGCATTAAGTTGGAAATGATGTGCTGTTGCAAAGAATAGTTTATGAATGCACTTTTTAAAAAGTTGTGGGAATAAAATGTCTTCAAATACAATATTAAAAAATATTTACATTTTATCAGTTTTTCTTGAAACTCATCATTGCCTGGAACACACAAAATATGGCATTTACTGCAGAGGCGTGTGTGGGTTAGGGCAGGTGGGCGGGATTTTGGGGAAGGGGGGGATTGGCTGTCCTAACCTACTGTTAGGGGAGGCTCACATTCACCCAATTTGAAAACCCCTGGTCTAGGTTACGACTGTAACCTCTCGTCCCTGAGAACAGGGAACGAGACACTGCGTCGATTGACGCTATGGGGAACGCCTTAACAGAGGTAACAGTAGTAACCTAGAAGTTCCCTTTCGAAAGGGAACTCGCACTGCGTCGATTGACGCTTTGGGGAACGATATAGCAACACCACCATGCTAAGGGGAGTGCATGCCATTTGGCAGTGACAACTGTCAGAACCAGCAAGTTCAAATGAAATGCCAGAACCACTCACCCTCAGGTTACACTGGGCTGTCAGTGACAGCATTCCCTATGGTCAAAGCCCAAGCTCTCTGCTTCACAGGAAAACCTCCATAAACCTAGTTTAATGAGAGGCCAACCTGGGCCTGCTCAAGGGCTAAGGACCACAGCTTCAAATTAGAAGGGGTCCCTTCTAGGGAATGTGGCTAGGGAACCCGAGGGAACCCCAGCCAGTCTCTATTCGGGGGAACGTACCGCCCGAAATGCCACTAGGAAGGCCTGACCTGGTGTCACTTACATTGGACACTTCAGTCTGGCCAACTTCCTGTCTGTCCGGAGACAGAGCCTCTGGACACTTGCCTATAAGTAGGGCATCCAACCCGAAGGACTGCGAAGCTGGCAGTGAACCACTCGGCCCGGATCTCAGAGACGGGGTATCCTGGAGAGCATGACTCAGCATAGTGCTTACAACCCTTGCTAGCGAGGGGAGTTTCTCTGGTCGATCCACTGATCTACCCAGTGCTTATGTTTCAAAGCACTAAGGAGGCCTGCGAAGGCCTAAGGACTGATCTAACTGGGAGGCTTCACGGGATGCCTACGACCGTCTGACCAGACTCAGGAGGCTGGGTACTAGTAGTGACCCTCAGTGAGGGGAGCACATGGCCTGCCTGGTAGGCAAAAAAAATGAGCCTTACGAAAAATGTGTTTGTTTTTTCGGGGGGCTGCAGAACCGCTCAGCCTACTGAAAACCCTAAAAGAGCTCAAGGGGGCGATGTACTCAGAAATGTTTACCTTGGATATTATATAATTTGCATGCATACAAAATTTGTTGAAAAAGCCAAAACATTTTCAAGATGTTTCCAACTCTAACTTTGAACCAATTCTGTAGAATGGCCCATATAGCCTATTTGAACAGGATTTGTTTCCAGGTAAGACTATAAAAATGTGCTTTTGACTTTCATTTATATTTGGATTATGTATATATATATATATATATATATATATATATATATATGTATATGTATATATATGTATATATATAGTTGCTTGTTGATGGTGTAAGGTCAAGTGAAAAATATCAACTGGAAAATGTACACATTTACCATGCAAGAAGGGCACTTTTCCTCATCATTTCAGAGGTCCACCTCATGCCTCTGTATTATTGTATTGTTCTAAATGGAGATTTAAAAAAGAAAACATTACTTTGAGAGTTAAGTAGGTTGAGAGATAGATGGGGTGAGGAGAAAGGAGAAGATAGCCAGAGGACAGATGATGGGTGGGTTCATAGTGGTGTCATATGACTCAGGGATTGATTTTTTTTTGTGTGTGTGTGTGTGTGTCCATATGGGAATGCCAGACCTAGTGGTGATTTGAGATGTTGGCCAAATGTATAAGACTATAACAAATCCAAACACCATTCTGAACTTGTTTACCAACCTAGCAGCAGAAAAACGGTGTTGTGTAACTTACAAAATCTTTTATCTGGACTTGGAATCAAATTTCAGTTTAGTTTTGAGTCTAACATGACAGTAAACCGATATTTCTCACTTTCCCCCATTCACAGGTTTGCAGGATGTGCTTCCTGAGTTTCTGCGGAATCGTTTTGTGGAGGCGGCGCTCAGTTACGTGGCGTGTAATTCAGAGGGCGAGCTACTGTGCCGCAACAATGACTGCTGGTGCCGCTGCTCCGCAAAGTTCCCTGATTGTAACTGCCCCTTTGCAGACATCAAAGCTATGGAGGAGAGTCTGCGAAAGAGCAAAGAGTCCTGGGTCAACCTCAACAATGACTTTATGGAGTCAGGTAGGTTAATCTGATGGCCATGGAAGTGTTAAAATCTCTTGTATAATCTCTGGGGTTACAACACCTTTTCACACTCACTTCGTGTCTTCACTGGATTAAATCGGAGAGTGGAACTTCTCAGGTTTAAAATGACAGGTAAATATCATTGGTATATCTCAATCTTGACAGATGATTGATATACTGTCATATTCCCTCAGCAACTCTTTCTCACAAGGTTTCTGAGTTCACCGCAGTGTAAACAGATGCACTTTGCACATATATACTATGAAAAGAACATCAGAACTGAAAAGTCTACCGCTGCGCCACAGCTCCAGCAAAGTATCTTTTAATTACACTTACATTGATAATGCATAGGGTAATACAGTATGTGCAGTGGCGTAATGGTTAAGGATCTGTGCTTCAAACACAAGGGCTGGAGGTACAATCCCAGGTGTCCAAGGAAATGGGAGAGTTAATGAGAAAACAATCCTGCCCTGTTACCATTGTGTCCATAGGCAAAGCACTTAACCCTAAGCTGCACCTGGGGGATTGTCTCTGCAATTAGTGTACTGTATGCCGCTTTGGATGAAAAGCATCTGCTAAATGTTAACAACAACCCCTCTAGACTGAATATATTAAAAAGTCAGTGTTAATAAATTCAATATCAGACAAGCAATCGATGGGTACAATTAAAGAACAACAACTGCTGCTCCAATATATATATATATATATATATATATATATATATATATTGAAATTAATAGTCAGCAAGGATATATTAAATTGATCGAAAGTGTCAGTAAATAAATGCTGTTCTTTTTAACCTTTTTTATTCATCATGTATTCACGTATACTATATAATGCAAGGGTGTAGAGTTACATTCAAGCTATTTAAGGCATGAAGAAATTTTATTTTTATTTTTTTAAATATGTCATTTTGGTGATCAAAGATGAGTTTTAACGGATAAAATGATCGACTACATGGGGGACTTTAAAATAACTGTGTGGTGTATTTTACTTGAAAGACTCGTGGGTGTTATTGGTCCATTTGTTTCTGAAAACCCTGAAAAAGCCTGCAAGGGCCTACAAGTCAATAATGAACTGTGGACTACTTTGATAAATGGGACCCATGTTTGGGTTTAATTCAGAGTTCTTTAAAGTTCACTGACTATGATACATTTGCACCTTGGAGTAGAAACCTAAACCGACAAGAGGGAGGGTTTGTCTGTTTTATTGCTCTGGTTGCGAGAAGGCCGGACTGATAAAATCTTGGGTTTGAATAGTGTGAGAGAGAGAGGGAGAGGAAACCCAAAGTAAAGCAAGCCGAAGAGAGAGAAGCATAGAAAGATGGCACCTCAGGTTTTTCTCCTAGCTGAGTGTTTCCACATTCAAAGAATGATTCAATCAGAGAGATAAACCCTAGCTGGCTCTAAAAGCTTCTCCTGCTCAGTGATGGAGCATTAATGAAAGCAGCTCAAATCCCTTTAACTGTGGCGCTGCACTCATAAGAACGCATATCTCCTTTCAGCAGGTGAAGTGCTAGGCTTGGGGAAAGGGCTCTTTGGCCATAGCATAGCTAAAGCGTAAGGGTTTTATTTATCCAGACTCACAGAAACCTGTCACTATTGTCAGGAGACCAAATAGGAGAGTGAGAACATTCATTCAGATTTAGAATGGGAAACTGATTTGTCATGCAGGATTCTGATAAACAATATAAAACATATTGGGAGGGGGAAACTTCACCCAAACAAAAGCAAATGACAGTTTAACTTAAGTCAGGCACCATGAAATCAGGTTTGCATAGTGGCTCCAAAAAAAGTATTGTATGAATTGTATGTACATGTAGGAATTGCAGTACACTCAATATCAAACATCAAACCAAGTGGAAAAACAAATCGAAAGAACAAAAGAAAAAAAAAACTTTGGTCTTATAGCCTTCTCTACACTGCATCTTAAAAAGGACAGATATACACTATCCCACCCACACACCAATACTCTCTGTTTGTATTGGTGTGTGGGTGGGATTGTGTATATCTGTCCTTTTTGGACTTGGGATGTGAAATTATCTTCCCTCACAATCTGAACCTCAGTGCACTTCAGTCAACTTTGTTCGAAAGCACCACGCGTTGACCATTTCTTAGCCGATATCTCTTATTGGATGGCTTTCTAAACCACAAAATTATTGTAGCACCCCCACGCTTGGCCCGAGGTCTGTTTGTTTACATTCATTTACATCTACTGCAAACTGTAGACCTACTATCATTACTATTAATAAAACTACGTATCAAAGTATATAAGACTTCCACTTCAATATAACATCACTGTTGAAAGATAAAAACATTCCAGCAACAGCTGTATATTAATTTGTGTCAGGCATACGTTTACATCACATGCTAAATGCTAACATGCTAAATCAAAACAGGACTTAATAAATGTAATAAAGAAGCACATACCTGTTTAATCATGCAAGCTTCAGTTAATCTGTCACGTCAAGTATTCCAGGAGGGCTTGAAATACAGATGCATATTTTGATAAACATTGATGGATTGTCATGTTTATGTAACATACATTAGATAAATAATCATCAATTTTTGCTCTATTACATTAAATTAAGCTGACCTGATGAGCATTTAGAGTGAAAACCACTGATCTATAAACATGGTAGGAACACTCATACTGTATATTATGCACGCGTTACATTCATATGCACAGTTAGAGGCCGCTTTCAAAGGTTTCACCCAAAGATGAAAATTCTGTCATTATTTACTCACCCTCAACCCAAATCTGTATGAATTTCTTTCTTCTGCTGAACACAAAACATATTTTGAAGAATGTCGGTAACCAAACAGTGGATCAATTCACGCGGTTTTTCAGTGAATTGACTTCCTTTTTTTTTTTTTTTTACTATGGAAAATTAACATAATATGGAACATAATGAATGGAATAATTAACATCATGTATCAATGGGTCAATGGGATCCATCAACTATTTAGTTGCCCATATTCTTCAAAACATCTTCTTTTGTGTTCAGCATGAAACAAGTTTTGGTAGTTTTTCTTCCCAGTTGTGATGTATATTTCTGAGTGAAACGGCTTCTCGAACAAGAAATTTCTCATTTTCTTTATGATTTAAATTGTTCTGACTCTTAAAGTGTCTACTTTCAAAAAGGCTAGTATTATGTAAAAAGTAGGCTAATAAGCATTCACAAAAGCATTTTAGTTGGAGCAAATAATTAACAGTTCCATGTTTACAACAGTAAATTCAGTATTTAAAAGTCAAGGGGTCTGGCAGTGTAAAACTACTGTGTCCCTCATCCTTCAGTTCATAGCTTGATTAGCTGAACGGTTCCATTATGTTAATTAAAAAATGTTTCGAAGTTACATGGTGTTATTTGATGCATGTTACCACCAACTATCAACCTGGCAACATGTTTATCCTCATCAGAGTCTGCCAATGGAAATTTTCACTGGGGTTTTGTCCATTTATGGGCTCAATTAGTTGCTAAAGCTCCCAGAGCCTGTACTTAGATAAGGCGAGTTTGAATGTGACAGATAGCAATAAACAACAAATGAAAGTCTTTTTTCAGTGAATTGATTTTTTTTTTTTTTTTGGTTCAATAAATGGCACCCATTTACTAACCAGAGGTTGTATAAAGAGGATTACACTCAGGGCACATATTCTGATATATCCTTCTATCTCACAAAGAGTTCCCTCTCGACATTTAAAAAGGCTTCCTACATTTCTTAATGGACAACTTTGGCAAATAGAATTCCTTACTTTAGAGAGAGCTAAAATATGATTCAAACTGTTTGATTACTGTATGTATTACATGTCAAATGTAGCACACAGTAGCCCTCTTAATAAAAACATTTCCCTTTTGGCATTTGATTAACTTAATGCAGGTTGTAAATGGGCTTCACCATGCTTCTCATTACCTCATAAACTGAGTAAATCAGAGGTAGATTAGCTTGGCACGGGTAGTGGATGCTGTTTTTAAGATTAAAGAATGGCGTATCCTGAGTTCTGTAGCATGTGCAAGATTTTACTAGTCCATTCACTTCGGGGTTAAATCAGCTAGCAGAACGAATGGATTCGCCCAGCAACAGCGCTGTGAGTCTAAGAAGGGATTATACAAAACTGTACTGTCATAAACATGATACTTCTCCCCACCAAATCCCACAAGTGCTTCGCTTTCGCTAAAGAAGCCACAGCGTAGGTCGACCTATTGCATATTCGCAAATGCCAAAAATGCCAGTTTCTTATTTAATATTTGCATGTTGCTTAGGGGAATAATTGCTGTGGATTTAGAAAATGAATTATGGATAGCATGTCCTTACCTTATGTTTTTGCTGTTGCAATTAACTAAGTATGTTTTAGTTCAGATTCTAATGGGATGTTTAAGATGTCAAGCCATTTGTTTTTCTTACGCAGAATAGCAGGTTTATTATTTTTTATTATCAAAATGTAATTTCAATGTTTCAGGATTTTTACCTAAAAATTACTGCATATAAATAAAAATAAATAAAAGCAGTTTAATTTGACTTGCAAAATCCATGCAAATACAGCTACTAACCATTTTGGAAAAATAATATTTATTATTTATCTTTCATTTTACTATGCGCATCTCATTTTCTGATGCTCGTTTTCGCAGGCAATGGTTTTGATTTCTCCTCTTTGTTTGGGGTAAAAAAAAAATTAATCTTTTGAATGTATGATGACATACACTTGTCTTGTAATATTCCTACTGCTCAGAATTCTTCAATCCCTGTGATTATACATTCACCATGGATTATTTCCACTGCTCAGGGCTCCACAATGTAGCGTATCACCATTTCTCTCTCTCTCTCTCTCTCTCTCTCTCTCTCTCTCTCTCTCTCTCTCCTCTCTCTCTCTCTCTCTCTCTCTCTCTCTCTCTCTCTCTCTCTCTCTCTCTCTCTCTCTCTCTCTCTCCTCTCTCTCTCTCTCTCTCTCTCCTCTCTCTCTCTCTCTCTCTCTCTCATCTCTCTCTCTCTCTCTCTTTT